GTACAATCCAGTTATAATGATTAAACTATCTATACATACTGCAAGCAAACATCTTACAAGTCTACTAGACCTAGTAAGAGTTTGAAGGGGAGTGTTAAGATGAGACTACACAAGAGTATGTCTCAGATGATATAAACTACATTACAAGCAATGACGAACAATGATGGAATACCTTCCATCATACATTCTACATCTGAGACATACCTACATAGTATATATAGACTAACTAATCAACAGACAATGAAGCAAGCTGCAAGAGAGCGAGCCGAGTCCACTATCCCCCCCTCTTTGTGTGATCCCTCTAAGCCTCTCACATAACCTCTTTCCCCTTTCTTAACATAAACTTATCAAGACTTTGGTGTGTGAGAACACCTGTGCACAACACGTGAAGGCTGTCCTGTCCTGTCCTGTGCCAAACAACAACAATACAAGTAGGATGAACTCACTGCACTAGCCCTCACAGATGCTACTAGTACTGGCTTGACATGTCTAACTGATGCATTTCTATAAACCTCTGTATTTTGGAAGAAGGGGATAGTAGTGATGGATCTGAACAAACAAGTGAGTAGTTGGTGCTTTCTTTCCATGCATGGTACTCAAGACACCCTTGTTGTTTGTAAGGCTCCTGCATTTGCAACTTATTCAAGTATTTCTTCACCTGGCATCACATTCTTGTTGCTATAATAGTGATTACTCTCACCATAGTCAAGTTCAATGCAGCTCAGAAAGGCCATGATGTACTGTCAAATGCATTTGACATTTTAATCACTATAGGATTTGGTGGATTTGGGTAAATTATTACTATTTCTATGGGGCATGTGCCAAATGTGCTAATGAGCTATATGTAAATGCTTACACTGTGAAGCATAGTACTGCTCAGTACTGTGAAGAGACAACAACTTTCTGCTTTAAAGTGGTTTTTTGAACATAATTGTGTAAGACATGTAGGGATGGTCTTATTTGGACTCTTTAGGTTTTCAAGGCACCTCTTCAGTGAGTAGTAATAACCATTCAATCTAATTTTCTTCCTGGTTTGATTTTGCTTCATTTAACCAGTATTCTACTATAGAAAGCCTGTTCTTAGTATACCCCTTTGCAATATCTTCCTCTGCAAACTATTCAGCACGTGAGTCAGAGCCCAAGTATATCATGATCATATTCGAAAATTTTTAACCACACTGACTGATAGGTCAATTCCGGGATACAATTTGAATGAGGCCTGTTATAACATATCAGAGAAGAATAACAGTCAGAGCAGGGATTGGAGAATATTTACAGGAGGATAATAACACAAGCAATGGTAGTAAGTGAGGGGGTCATGAGCAAGCCAATGCTGCAAGGAATAAGAATAGAAGACTGTGTCAGCCTTGCAGGACGATAAGACGCAAGGTAGTTTATTGTACTTATAACACTTTGTGCAATGCTGAAACACTAATCTATTCCTAATCCTAATAGTGTGAAGGAGGCACTCCCTGTCCTCGATGCTTTGAACGTAAAATTCTAGACAAGTGTATAGTTGTGGAGTAGTCTTCTCAGAGCCGACTATACACTTATGTTCTTTGATTCTTTCTCACAGACTGCCAAACAGTGCCTGATGGGCCTTATTTGACGAGAAGAGTAAACAAAGAGGTTACTTAAGCAATGCCTAAGAAGCATAAACTCCTTGCATTAGCGTACACGCCTGTTGAAATAGAATTAACTCGAAGGAACTGTACAATCAGCCGTACTTTTTTGATGCCTTTGGTTATAGGTAGATATATTCAGGGTTAATCCGGTTTATTTGATTGTGTCGTGCCATTTGATATAGAAAGTCGCGTCATTAGAATCTTAGAGTCGAAAAGTTGTACGGCTCGAAAATCAATCACGTTGTACTCTTTGCGAGTCGTATACAATTGCTTGGGTATATTGATAAAACGGAAGGTGGATATACATGAAACATGTCGAAGCAAGGAACGAGAACATAGACTATCAGAAATGTTCGTCAGCAGGTAGACTCCAGTAAGAGAATATGCCGTAGAAGACTTAATCGAACCACCCAGCGCGTCTCATCTCATCCGCAAGTCCATTATAATCCTTTCGTCGCGCTCGTCGACCTGCAAGCTCACTCGCAAATCTGTAGGGCCATAATTCATTAGCATAACGAATACCAGTAAATAGAAATATTACCTGACCTTAAGCAATCTTCTAATTTCCACTTTCCTCGTTCGACGTCCAATATACCAGCCCCATATTGAGGATGTAATCCAGAAGAAGGCGTATACGGAGGTCCAGGTAAAATTCGCTGACTCAAAGCGTACATCATCCCAGCGATGAACGCATCTTGCGCAGCAGATTCGTCACGCTTATCTTTCTCGCGTTTTCCTCCTCCAGTCTCGGTTCCTTGGGAGTCTCGATCTGCATCTGCATCGACATCTTCAGCGCGTACTACTGGAATATCGCTCATCCCAGCTGACGCAGATGAACCGAAGCTTTCGTGGATATTACTGCTCTGAGCACTACCGGAGAACGCTGTAAACGCGCTACTCGAGGTTCCACTGCCAGCTCGATGTCCGGCTGCCCAGAATCCACTCCCGCTACGAACACTGGCTACGCCATGTGCTCCCGCATCAGAAAGTGCAGCGCCAGTAGTAGCGTCGCTGAGCGTACTGAGTGGACGAGTCGAACGAGGTTCGTCGTCCACCCACCCGCTTGATTGGAGATATTCTCGAGAAGGGACGCTGAGAAGTGCAGCACCCGCAGAACCCCAATAAGCGATGAGTAGAGCATGCGGAGGTACTCGTCCGGATGAGGCGAGAGCAAGGAGAAAAGGTCGTGGAGTAGTGTATGCAGCGTTTTGGGAAAGCGCATATTGTTTCCTGGAATGATATTAGAATCGCCTTATTATTGTAAAACGCGTATTGCTCACGAAAAGAATATTACGTCTGCGTGAGGAATAAGCTAAATCAGACAGTCAATCAGTGGAGATACAGACTGGAAAGTAACTTACAGCTTCAACTCCTTGCCTCGTTTTGCAAGCATCGAGACTGAAAACGCACTGACTCCTCCATTTTCTCTCCCTCGCAAGCCCGTCAATACCAATAATATTCGATAAAGTTGTTTTCACAGAGCGGCCTTCAAAATGCAACCAGTCAAATGGAGCCGAGGACTGAGGACTTCCAGGAGAAGTTGGTGATGGGAGCGGTGATATTGGAAGATCGTAGTTTTCCGGAACGAGTAGGGGTCCGAGTAAGCTCACGAATTCTTCGTGGGTTATGTCAGGTAATGGATTATGGTTGATAATTGTTCGTGAGCTCGAATCTTCTATACACGATGCATATGAGTTAAGGCATTGAGTTTGAATGCGAAAGAAATCCAAAACTCACCAGCTTCAATTATCCACGCGCTTGGTACGCTCGCACCTTCCCAAACCTTGCAGAACCGGGTATTCACTCCTTCACGCTGCAGGTCCCTTGCAAGCATTGCACCCTCAGTATTTCCTGCTAGAGGGGCTACCAGCAATGCATCGACGCCAGAAAACTGCCCAAGGACGGTGAGAACATTGGCAACGCTTCCTCCTCGCAATCGTGTAACGTTTCGCGCCCGTGAGATCGTACCTTCACCAGGAAAAGTCGGGAGAGACAAGACATGCGTTAGAAAGACAGTACCGGATGCAATAACTCGTATTGGTCTCATACGACCGCCAGCGGGCGACTGTTGTGCATTTGGCTTTGACATCTGCCGTATTATGTTGGGAGGAAAGTAAAGTTCGTCGCCACGGTTCGCGACTGGACGCGTTTATGACCTACAGTATATGACAAAAGTATTACACAGGTGAAAAAATATATATAACTTCCCCAAAACACAATAATATTACACTCTGTAAATTGGTACTTGTAGTCTAGCATTTTATGAATACAACACTCTATAGAGTATTAAATTCCTTTCA